AAGTGCACCAAGCCCCTGTTCGCCCTGTGACGGCCATGTCACAGAATCCGGTCTGAAGCCTGTACAGCGCATCCCATTTTGTAAACTTCTTCTATTCCCTCCGCACACCCCCTGCATCGCACCATCTAGTTTCTAAGTTCTGGGCTTTGCCGCTTGCGGCTGTGCCGCCGCGCCCTAAGTCCAGAGGACAGATCGGATTGCAAAGAACAAAATCCCAACTCTGGATGAGATAGCTGCTGTGGCAGTTGCAATGGCAGTAGCACAAGCAGATTCGCATCAGCAACAGTAACGGTGTAACGATGACAACGATAGCGCTGGTAGCAATCATGGTGCTGGTGGCGGTGATGGTGGCGTGGGCGGGGGGATGGGGGAGCTGGGGGGTATGGGGGATATGGGGGTTATGGGGGTTTTGGGGGTTTTGGGGGTTATGGGGGAGTTACTGAATGGCGGGAGGCGCAGCAGGGACAAGCACAGCACCATAACGGCAGCCCAGGATAGTTATGGACAGGGGCCTGCGACTAGGGCCTAAAGATGCAGTAAACTCTAGGTTGATAGAGGGGGTGAAGGTCTTCAGCTGGAGCTGAGCGACGGGTGTAGCAACGAAGCCTTAGAGTCGGAGGATGCGAGCAATCAGGACACGCCAGGATGCCGAATACAGATAGGGGTTTCGCAAAATTAGGGGTACCTTTTTGGGGAGTCCCTATAATAAGGACTATAATATTTGGGGGTCTATTTTGGGGTCCCTTATTTTGGGAGACTACCAGATTGGTTCAGGGCTCAAAGTTTCCCCTTCTCATACGTGGCACATGACATTTTGTCCTTGCCAGCTCCTGTCAGCAGGTCCCAATCACAAGGTGGGAGCTACGCAACAAACCTGGCGGCCATCACAAGGATCGCAGCAGTGACAGTGACTCCCATGATGTCGTGACATAAAACCCTAAACCCTAAATCATAAATCATAAATGACAGCTGATGTAAAGTGGCAACCAGAGCTGTTGACCAAAACAGCTGCAACTATTGCAGCTGCCACCCCCAGCCGATGACATCTCCTGTTTTGCCCAACAGATGCCCGGCAGGATGCTGGTTGCTTTGTGAGGGTCCTTTTTGTAGGGTTAGGGTTGAGGGGTCACGTTCGTGTCCTTGTACTGGGAATGTGTTCTGCAGGGGGCGCTGGGTCGGCTTGGTCGCATTTTTTTGCGTAGCCCTTGGTTGTCATTGGCTGTCGCCATCCGCGCTACTCATTCCTGAATTGGACCTTTAGAATAGACACTTCATATTCCTTGTTGGGCTTCAGTATAACCAAACTATGGACACTTTTTTGCCTTATAACTTCTAGATCTTTGTCAGGAGTTGGCCTCAAAATCCTTGATTAAGAAGTTATGTGTCTAAACTCCTAGTTTCCCCCTTATAACCCCAATAGTAGTCCCCTATATAATCCCCTATGTAACCCCCTTTAAGGAGTTTACACTATAGCTTAAGGCTTATGTGACCCGGTCTTGACCTTTAGTTGCTGGCCTCAGGCAGGAGATATGCGGCTTTCCTCCTTTCAGGCTAGGATGTTGTTTATCAGGATAGTAGCTGTAACAAACTATAGAATATCACCTGGTTATAACTTGGTAACTTGGGTTTTCCCTATCTAGTTCTCATGTTAACGCCCGGCAGACGTTAAAAGCAGAACAATCGTGCCACTGGTTACCAGCTTGCCTCATTACACACAAGCCGAAAGATTTGGATCCGCTGGCGGTGATTCGTAGACGATGAAACTATTTGTGGATGGCATCCATCTGGACGAGTGGGAATTTTCAGGGACCGGGCCGCTTCCAGCTTCCAGTTGTCTGCTGCAAGTTCAAGAGTGAAGTCGAGCTTAGGTTCTGGTCTGCTTTAGTTGTCTACAGCTGCAGATGATGTAAATACTATAGAAGAAATCCATTTCGGCCTTACTGGCAAAGCATGTTGTGAAGGAAGACTTTAGCTCGTCAAGATTCACGGGCAAAACCCCTTGATGAACGGCTGCTTGTCTTCTCGTTTGTCTGGAGTTTCAGGACAGCGGCGACACAACAATGAGGTCATCTGCTTTTGAGAGACTTATGAGGGTACACGCAAACGTGCACCATTCAGACGGCTGGAAGCCAAGGAAGCTTCTGACCGCATGCGATCACGAACTGGCACTCCGAACGCCGAACTCGGCTTTCTAGGCTGCTGTACCCAAGCCCTCAATTCTGCTGCTGAGGCTGAACTATGCGTTGCAGCAGTGCGAGTTCAGGGTGCTATGGCTCAGCCTCTCCAATTAAAACATAAAGTAGCAAGGAATCTGTTGCATGCGCAGCCCTTCCAAAGCGCGAGCAGGTTGGTGCTGGAGATATTCTGTTGTATGACACCTGGAACATAGGCTTTTCGAGTGGAAGGTTGTGATCGGATTGGAGCTCGAAGGCGTGCTCATGCTCTCCTAACTCCTACATGCTGGGGTTCTGATTTCACCCAGCTCAGCACTCTTACAAAGCTACGCCGCAAAATATCTAGCTTCTTCGCGTACCCCCAAAAAGCAACATGACCGAACGTATGTGGACCCTGACATGTCGAACAATGCTGCAACAAACATAACACTAAACGTCTGGAAGCCTGAAATGCACCTCCACAGGTCAAAAGACAACACTGCTTGCCTTCTGCGGCATCGGCCGGAGCCTCCATGCGTTCGCCAGCCAGTTGGAGATCCCACTTGCGGGTATGTCAAAGTTAGCAGCGTGATGCAGCGTGTACATTCAGGCTCGGGAACGGGATATTTACCAGACACATCTGGTAATATAGGGAGGGTTCTCAGGAGTCCGCATCGCGCGTGGCCCCAAGTGAGCTCTTTGGAGCGCATCTCATCAGAAATCGTTGGGCATTTCGTGCTTCGATAAACGACCACTTCAATGCCACTTCTGTCCAGCATGTGTCCACCTGACTTGGACATGCAGTCGCCAGCCGTGCCAGGACCTGATCACACTTTCTGCCTTCAAGGCTATCAATTCAATTTTGGATCGAGCCTTTATGACCTGGCCTCTGGGGTCCACAAAAATGTTTTGCTTGCAGTGCGAACAAACATTCCGCAGCGGAAAACTTCTTCAGGTTTTGGTTGTTGAGCACCCGCAACAAGAACGGAAAAGCATCAGAAGGACAATGAACAACGTTAGGCCATCATGTGGCAGTGCGACCCAGCTAGTGACGCTCCAGCCCGCAACAATACACTTGCCATTGCTCCTTTTTCAAAACATTCAATGGCACTCCCTTGGTCACGTAGAGTACGCTTGACAGTGAACACCTCCAACGCTTGCGAAGTACATGGGAATCAAGCAGGGAACCCAAACATGCAGTGTGCCTGCTGGCATGGCAAATGCAGACATCAGGCTTCACAGCAACGCTCATAGAGAGCAAGTCGGGGAATCAGAGAGGCACCTAACTGTACCTAACTCAGACAATGCAGCTGCCAAACCAAAGTTCTTGCTAATGTTAGAACTGCAAAGGGTGCGTTCTGGCCCCTAACTCTAGCACATAGCCCATGCGACAACAGAACAACTTAGTTGCAACTCGGGCTCTTGTGTTTTATGATTACCCTGACATCCCTAGCCTAATTCCTACCGCACTCACTGTGTTGAGCTGACTGCCTTTCTGCTGCTTGAAGATTGCCATGGAGCGTCTGGAAATTTTAAGCATGAGAGAAAAAAAACCCTGGGCGCCAGGCGCCCGCTCAGCTCCATGTACTTCTACAAGGGGCAATCTCCACTGCTACGAACTCCCACATAGAAGCGAGAACCCTTATCCCTGACCAGTCACGCTTAGGTGCCTTGCGGATTCCTGGAAGTGACTTCTCGCAGCAAACTGATCAGTGCTTGCAGCTGCTAGCAGATTCAGCGTTCTAGGGTCTAGGGTTTAGGGTTGAGAGGCTTCTCAGGAATTGCAGCTGCCCTAACAATTTGATACAACTGGTGATTACAGAGCCCTGCTAGGAACATTCAGGAGTAGATAGAATATGGCTTTGGGTATGTTATAATAAGATCCCCATCTACCCCATATTCTATCTACTTAAGGGGGACTCTATTCTT